ACATAAAATATAGCGTCAAAGCTTTGAACAATCTAACTCTTTATCCCATATTTAATGTTTTTCTCTAAAATATAATTTCCAAATTTATGAATAACTAAACCTACCTATTTAGCTATCAATTTAGAATTTTTCAAAAAATGAAAATTCATTGTTCTCTAGGCTTCAAGTGACTCCCCACATTTCTCACTACAATTTTACTTTAAACTTGTGAACGCAATTCACAGGATTACACGCGTACGACAAAACGCGATAGTATTAAACACGTCATAGGATTATACGCATTCCCTATAAAACATAAATAAAAGGAGGAATAAGAAAAAAGCTCGCCTTTGTTGTGGGAATGGGAAAAAAAGAAAAATATAAAAAATTTGTACAGAGAAGAAATGGGAGTGTTGTCCCAAGATCGAATAATTTAATTTGTATTAAAATCATAGGAGCAACGTTGGAGGGGGCTAGAGAGCTTGTACAAGGCCAACCAATAATTTCATGTTTAAAAAAAATTAAGACTTTGCTAAAAAAAGTAAAAAGATTATTTATTAAATTTCTTTCTCTTAAATTGTTTATTCAACAAAAATGTTATAAAAAGTTTGGATGATTCATAAATAATTTCTTTATTATTGCTTTCATAAAAACAATTTAAATCATAATTTTTTCTAAAAAAAATATATATATAAATCATGTATTTATGCTTTGGGGCCGTTCAGAAAGTACGTACACAAAAATAGAGAAATTTTAACCCCCTCCCTTCGTACATTACCGTACATAAGGTCTTACTCCCCCCCCCCTCCTTAGAGTACGTACATTTTATTAGTCTACCCCCCTTTTTCATAAAAATTAAAATAATTATGTTTTAAATAAAATTAAATTTTTATTTAAAATAATTTATTCATTTAAATTATTTAAACAATAACACCCAACTTTATCTTTGAATCAATAAATGAAACAATCTAATCTGATCAACATAATAATTTCCTACAATCAAAACAATTAATCTACAGTATTTTCCCAAGGACATTCCAAATGCTTCTCGAGAGACACCAATTCAGCGTTACTCTTGTCTGCGACTGATGAAAAATTTAGATTATCTTCATGAACGAGATCATCTTCGATCCTCTCTGCATCATCTTCGTTTTCCTGGTTTCTGAGGATAATCAAAAGTTCTTTCTGTCGACGAGCTGCTACACGAACCTGTCTTACTTTGTTGATTTGCGAAGAAGATTTGCATACTTACTTGTGATCTTTCAAACAAGTTAAAGTTCCAAAATATGTACCACAAGTAGGACAAATTTTGCGTTTAATATCACCTTCTACCGATGGGCATGTTGCATAGTATGGTATTTATGTGATGGAGTTCAAACCTATTTTTTGATTAACAGCAGCTTTCACAGTTGGTTCCAACGTTTGAGATAAAAATAATGATGGAAAAGTTCCTCGTGGTTGATTAATATCAAGTCCATCATACAAGAACAAACATATGTATAATACATGTGTAGGAAAAAGTCAAATTTAAATTTGGTGTATGCTTATAATGTACGTACTTAGTATAATACCTCCCCCCTTCCCCATCGTACGAAACCGTACAAAATAGCAAATCCCCTCCCCCCCCTTCGAGATGTACGTACTTTTTGAACGGCCCCTTAGTACTATTCGTCTTTTTCGAACGGTTGGTTGCCTCTCCACTTCGCGAGACTGCTTTATTCATACAGTTGCCAAAGGCAGCGTTGTTCTGAGTGCTCAGTTCTCTCTCAAGAATTAGTCTCGTTGCAGCTGATTATTTATTAATCTCAAACTCACGCAATGTAAAAAAGAAGCCAGCAATTCATTCGAGTGAGTTTTGAAAAGGGCACTAAATCTACAAAAAATGGAAAAATTGAGAGGCGTGGGTAATATACGCAATTCGTAATGTTGTACACCATAAAGGTAAAAAAAAAATTCTAAAAAAAAAAGCCGATTGCGTTACACAAGCAATTCACAAACAGTCACTTAAGGGATAGACCGATCGCCTCCTAATGAAGTGATCGATTACCAGCAATGGCTTGTCGATTCAAATTCCGCGCCCTGCTCGCACTGACCACAGTACTGGTGTAAAATATCCTCAGCGGTAGATAGATCATGTTTTAGAATCCCCTTGCAGTCAAGCTAACCATGGAAGGTTTCTGTGGTAATCCTCTCGTTATAATACATATTCGGGTGAGTTCCATCAAAAAGTCCAAAATTTCTCTGAGTACTTGATCCTGGAGTTCCCTTGTCTTCTGGATTGGGTTCAAAACTATAATGATACGGATTGTCAGTCGTAAACTCTAAGTAGGGTCGGCTGTTCAACGACGGTTATATATAAAAATAAAATAATAAAAATTTTAGTGATTTGATAAAACTCAACAGTGCCAAAAAAAAAAATTTCTATTTTTACCAAAAATTGAAAAATATTAGTCAGAATTACAAAGTTAGTAAGTGTAATAAGAGGATGTTGCATTTAACTTCATAAATAATCTAAAACAAGGCTGTGGAGTGGGAGTCGAAAATTTTTGTCCGAGGTACATATTAGAAGAAGAAACAAATTTGTTGATGTGGTAATAACACTAATTTTTTGTTGCATCTTTGCAAATGTTTGATCTTGATAATTCAGATTTGGGGATTGCAAATCTGAAATTAGTCTTGCACCTAAAACTACAGATTGTTTCTTAAAATGACATTTTTAGTCTATTTTCTTTTTCGAAATGTACAAGATTAAAAACGTTCTACATTGCAGGGTGTTGCATAAATGTTGCGAAAATATTCTAAGAGCGGTAGGGCACATCATCAGCAATGACTGCTTAAAAACATGAAATAGCATAAAATTGCATGAGAATCCATCCCTGAAAATGTCGTCATACGCAAGTAGAGGCGCTTCCCTATTATGATCTGTTTAAAAGCACACGAAGAAACGGTTCTTAATAAGGAAGCACCCATAGCGGCGTATGACATTTCTGGGTATGGGTTCTTAAGCAATTTTAATCCTGATGAAGTACCCTTATTCCCCTAGAAGTTCGTAGAAACATTTATTTAACCTTCTATTTCCATATATAGCATTTTTAAACCTGTACATTTCGCCAACAGACTAAAAAAGTCATTTTTAAATAAATGTAGCTTGGAGAGAAACCGGTTGCTAACTTGAAATGAGTGACGTAAAAATATCTAAGATTCATTTAAAACAATGTAGTGCAACAGGAAACAAACTAAAATAAGAAATTGCTCCCCTGTATAGTCATTATTTGTCAAATATTTGTAGTTAGTATGTCCATAAAATATTACTCAAATGTACATTGCGACATTCATTTAAATTATATTATTATTGCAAAATTTTGAAGAAATATTTTTTTTAATTATTTATTTAACTATCGTGCTAATACAATATTAAATAAAACACCATGAACTCTAATTGTTCGCAAAAATATAATATTTATTTAATACATAATTGATATTTATTTAGTTATAGTAGTTTATTAAGTTGTTTAGTTTAGTTGTCGGAGTCGAGCATTGCAACTATACACTCCTTAGCTCTGATCTTAGAAGGTAATAGTGCAAGCCAACGATGACAAACGTGTCAATGCTTTCAATTTGGAAAACCATGAACTCAAAAACCATTTTCTTTTTTCTTTTTTTCTTAAAACAAATGATGTATTTTAATAGATCAGAGAAAATGCATTGCTTAAATAAAGTGATTTAAAAAAATTACAATAATAATAGTAATCTGCAGATTTTTTTCTAATCAGATAAAGATATATCAGTTTCTAAATTTTGGAAATAATGTTTGCACTTACTCTTTATTTACTAAATTTTAAAGATATATAGGACGATAATTCTTAGAAAATTATTTGCATATGTCTAGAAAAAAAGTTTATTTAAGTTGTAAGATTGCTTAAACTTAAAATAATAATAAATCATTTAACGATTTTTATCGTTAAACATAGATAATCTGGACTATAAAATGCAAAGCATTATTTTTCTAGTTTATAAATTTGTGTAACAATAATTTGGAATTTTTTCGAAAGATAATTTTTTCAATAATGAAAGCTAATAAACGAATAAAAATACAACATCAATAATTTTTTAAATATTTAAATGCTTGAACTTTTAAAAACAGATAATCACGCAGGTACGTTAGGAAAAAATAAATGCAATGAAATAATAGTAATAACAATAATAATAATATTTTAAAAATGTTTACATATTTAAATATTTTTAAAAATGACCATTTTATAACTTTAAAAAATATGATTATTACTGAGCAAAAATAGATAGAATAAAAATACCTAATAATTCTTTTCTTAAATATCTAACAATAAAATAGTTTTTTAAAAATTGTTTCTATTTTTGTTTTTTTATTTATTAACTATTTTTTTTTGTTTTTTTATTAACTTCTAAGCAATATAAAAAATTTAAATCATTTTTAATTTTTTTTTCTTTTTTTTTATGCTTTAAAATATTCAATATAAATATTGGCTTTTCTGATTATACATTGGGCATAATTCTCGAGTATTGATCTTAAATTTTTATCATTCATATATTCTGGAAATATTTTTATTTTATATGATAACAATGGAAATATTTTTATTTTATATGATAACAATAGAAATATTTAAAAGAAATTGTTTCATTTATCTTCCATAAAAAAAAAATGGAATAAAAGACAATTCAGTACCAATCCGAATAAGTTTTTAATTCTCAGAAGCAATATTTTTGATATCATTCAGACGTACATTTTGTGTTCTGCTTATAAGCTTACTCATATTATACAAAAAAAATTTTAATTTTATTAGATAGCATGAGCAATTTTAATTTTTTGGAATTTTTCATTCGAAAAAACAGCAATGTAAAACGTAGCGACATATTTCAGCCGTATTTTTACAGATATATTAAAAACATTATATAACAGATGGCAGCACTAGTACCTTTTTAACAAATACAAATATTTCTACTTCAAACCTCTTCAGACAAATTGAATATGCGTGCGCATCATTGTCAAGATAAATTTTTTTTTTATATATTATTATTCTCAAGTAGTCAAACAGGTGAAGTAAAAGCGAACGGCGAAAGAATAGAAGGGTGTTGTTATGGTGCATGTGTTTAGCATGATAGAAATGGTGGCTTTATGAAATAAATTACATGGAATGTTAACATGAGGATATCTATCGTTTTCCTATATAGACTTTTAATTATGTTATAATTGTAATTTGTGTGTTGTTCAAATTCATTGTGTTCGAGCATGCTGCGTTTCCTTAGCAAACGATTTAGCCGTTCAACTCGAGGAGGTAAACATCGAGCAACTGAAGGCAAAACACCTACAAAGCCTGGAAAAAATGTTTTACCTTGCAAAATTATATTATTGGATGGCTCAGACTTGTCTGTTGATGTACATGTAAGTTTTATTAGTTAATAATACTTCTTGTTATACAGTTAAATTTTATTACATTAAATAATGAATGTTTCATGTAATTTCTAATGTTATTTAGAATATGATGTGCAGCATTATTTATTTATAATGCATTCATTGTTTTATCATTAATTATTTTGTTTACTTACAAACTTTTGATAAATTTAAGGAATGTTAAATAGCGTTATGCTTTACATCTGGTTAATTTTATCTATGTCCAGTGATGTCATCAAATGATAGTAAAGAAGATACGTTCTTACAACAATGGAATAAATTATCGTTTGAGGATGTTAATTTATTAGTCATGTTCCTTAAACGCTATAAACTTATCATAATATTTAATATCCTCAATGAAATCTAAGTAAATTTATTTAAATTTATTTTGCCAATTTTTATTCACAATGCGTCCTGAATGCGTATCTTTTATTAGAAAACTTTATAATTAGTTTATACCAGAGAACTGTTTAACAAATCAATTTTTGAGATTTAAATACTATGATTATCAGCGTAATGTGTCAAAATATGCTTAGAAATAATCCTAGTTGAGGAGATTTAAAGTTGTCACCCAAATTTTCACGAACATACGTATTTCTGTCTTAACATTCAATAATTTAACGTCCATTTTATAACTAACTTCATGATTTACAGTTTTTGTAATACAGGTTGATGTGATTATAAAATATAAACCTGAGTGCTTCAAAAGCTTATAAATTACTTGTTTATTAATGTTAAATGATCACAGTACTTATTCACGTGTAGATATTTTTAAGAAATTTTAGACTGATATATGATATAACTTTTATTTATAGATAAATTTAAGAATTATTCTTAATAGTCTCAATAAATTAGATGATATTGTATAAAATAACATGACTGGAGCTAGTTGCTGTTATTTGCTTATAGCTCGCCAATTATGTTAGGGTGAAGAGAATGGTTGGATGTATTTAACAGTAAATGGGTGTCCTTTAAGAATTGAATAAAGGATTGTAGTTTATGATCATCTTAAGTGTCCATGAAATAAGGACAAAGCTCCAATTAAATAACAAAATAATCTTTAATGATTGAGTTGGTCTTACGTAATTTTGACGCAAACCTTTAAGAAATTTTATTGTTTTGCCAAGTCAACCCAGTTGTAAAATAACTGTGCAATTTTATATACTTGTTTAAGATTTTAATCTTGGTCATTATGCTGCTCATTATCTTTTTGAATTTCAGTGCATTCTAATTTGGAATTTACGATTTTCCGTTGATCATTAAAGCTTGTAATAGTTCACGTTGGTTTATGATAGTTATCTGGATTTATTTTTCTGCTCAAAAATGTATACTCAACAAACAATAAAAAAAATTTGATATTTCTTTTCTATTGAGTATGGCTATACACCAATTGTAAATGAATTGAGAGCACCAATTTTGAATGAATTAGCATTTTTCAATAATTCATCATTAAATTAAATACTTTTTTTTGCAAAAATGTATAAAGACTTTATATCAATTCAATTTGTTCTTTTCATATTAGCTTTCAAACTTAAATATTCACGAAACTTATACTTTTTTCTGAATAAATATTCAATTGATAAACTAGTTTTATAGGTCTTGTATTTTATTTAGGTAAATATAAGTCTTTATTTCTTAGGTTTAATGTTTGGCTGTTTTTAAACTTACCCAGGGTTAATATTGTAAAATTTTTAGAATTAAATACCATTTCAGATTCAAGAATTTCTAGTTGCCTAAATTTAAATAATAGAATTGCTGTTATTTAAACTATTCTGTACCAAAATATTCATTAAAATTTTGTGTCTAGATATTTGTTATAAATTTTAAAACAGTCTTTTTGAAATTTTATTGAACTTCAAATATTAATTCGTGAAATGTGTCTTCTAGGAGCAGAATTAGAATATGTGATGATTTGCAATTGAAAAAAAAATTTTTTTTTTTGAGAATAAAGTACATTCTTTAGTTATCATTTTATAAATACCTACATAGTGAAACAAAGATTATTAACGATATGTAACATTTGCATCATAATTTAGACATAAATTGTTCTCCTATAGGTGTATTTATTTTTCGAGAAAATTCAAATTGTTCTGCAACGTCAATAAAGCTCTGTGCTAATGGTTGTGTTTTTTAAATTTTTTTGTTTGTTCTCAAATGGTTTTAGAATATGAATTATCTGAGAATTAATTTCCTCCTTTTCTTAATCATGTATAAGGTTCATTTCGCTATTTCAAAAGATTACAAAAAGATAAGTTATAAAACAAAACATTAGAAATTGATATTGTATCTACATCAATAAAATTCATGTGAATTTGACTGTCTGATCAGAGCAGCTTTTCTGATTCATAACTGTGTGACATTAAAAACTTCATTATTAGCTGATTCATGCATCCTTTAATGATTAAAGATATTGAAACTTTTAAATGTGCCTACTAATGAATCAGATACTTTACAAATTAAACCCAATGATATTTTTATATTATTCTTTCTAATATTTTAATTCTTTCCAAATATATTTATCTTGCAATTTATTTTTTATTTCAAATACTTTTCTGCTAAGTTGATTACCAGGTTTTGAAACTTACATTGGGTAGATTTCTGTATTGTAATCTATGTCAGAATAATCTTAAAGTGCTTGGCGGCTTCGAAGCAGTGGCCCACGGGAAATTAAACAAAAACATCATAGGAAAGTACCAAATCGAAGGGTATAACTTGTAACCAACCCTTGGACAAACCTCTTTTTTTTAAAAAAGAAAGAACAATTATCAAGTTTAAAATTTTCGCTTTGACGATTGTAGTTGGTGCAACTGATTACAGTACAAAAATATCCCCCTTACTTGTACACTATTAATTTAGTAGGTGTGCTTCATCCTTTACTATCACCATTAATTGGGCAGAATACTCACAATATTATTAAAAATGCTGGCTCGGATCATTAAGCAAGTGGATAACCCAGCCCGCATTTAGACCAAACTTTCACAGTAACGATATTTCTTAATCTGTTCTACTGTAAAGTGCTGAGCTTAACGCGCCGCTCAAAGGGCTACCAAAGCGAGGGAGCCATCCCCTCTGCAGAGGATCAAAATGGTGGTGGCATGTCTTCGGATCATCCCTGAGGATGATCTGAAGATATCCTACCCACCAAAATTTAAAAATCGGTTCAATAGCTCCTAAGTTTGGCCATCACTGCTCCTAGAGCACTGTCAACAGCTGTGGTTACAAGGTTAAACTATTTTAAGTATGAGTGTGTGTAGGGTCAATATTTGGGGAATGATTTGACTCTGTTTAGTGAAAAAGTATTGGAGGTTTTCCCTCTTTGAAATGTGCTTTTTCTTATTTCTCAGAACCAATTTCCAGAGGAATTCTTTGATTAAACAACAGCATTATGTCAATAGCCAACCAGATTGTAGCTCTCTCTATTATAAAAAAGATGCCCGATATATTTCTATTGGGAGCTTTTTTCCTTTCACAAATTTTATGACTACATCTATTGAATTTTAATTTGTGAGGGTAGTTGGGTTAATATCTATTATTAAATCAGTTTGAGTCAGGGAAATGTAACTACCAATTCACTAGTTTCAGGGATGTGTAGTTTGTTAAAACATGTAGGTACATAAGTTCAAAAACAAAGTTATAAGTTTTGACGCAGATGACAGGAGTGTCATTTTTTCCTGATGCTCTAATTACGAATAAAAATATATTTTGGTATATTTCAGTTAAACAGAAAAATTTAATAGTTACTAAAAAAATCTGTTAGATTATTGGCAGGGTTGGCAGGTTTTTGACATGTGACAGTTTTTGACAGTTTAAACCATGGTTTAAACCGTCACGTCAAAAACCTCACTGTCAAAAATGTCGAAAATGTCAAAAACCTATATTCATATGTGAAATTTAATTAATACATAAAATTTATATATTTTTTATAAAGGATAGTGTTTCTAAATATGTTCTAGAAAAAATAAATTTAAAATTTTGAAGAAACACTTATATTTTGAATAGTAACCAAAATCTTGTACTTTTGAAAGCTCACATCTTTTGTAATATTATGTATTCATTTTCATGTGTTATTGAAAATCTGCAGTGATATTATTAAGAAATTTATTTATAACCAAATTTAGTGTATAGTATAGATTATACTAAAAATTAGACATTTTTAAAGATAAACATTAGCAGTTTTGTACATTAGACATCTTTTAAAGAAAAATCTTTTTAATATTCTTTTAAATCTTCTTAATAATCTTTTTAACATAAGACAATACAAATTTAAGTGCTTTCTGTTAAATACACAGAGTAGTTAGTGTCGATTTACAGTATATTCAGCCTATTCATTTACTATGCTGAAAATTTAGTTTATCCAAATACTTGTGAATTTCATTTTGCTGAATACTATATAGTTTTGTTGAATATCTAAATATTCAGCTGTTGAATAATTACTTCTTGCTTTCAAGATATGCATTATTTGTATTCTTAATACAAGTGGAGAAAAAAAAATTAAGAGATAAAAATTGTTTTAAAATGATAAGTGTAATAATTATAAATAAATATAATAAACAATATGAATTATATTTATCATTATTCATAAATATAACTACTTTTAAATTCAAATTAACATACAGGATAATAAGGATATTCGGTCTAGCATTAAGAATTTTTTTTTATATACTTGTATCAAGTTTGTATTTATACAACATAACTTGTAAGTTCCTTATAAATATTAGTTATATGTTCCTTATATGTCAAAAATGCATAGTAATAAACTTTTAATTTTCTTAAGTATCAAAAAGAAAAAAAAAAAAAATTTTAAGTATAAATATTTAAGCAATTTTTGTGCAAAATTTTTCTGCACATGCATTTGAATATAAATTTCTGAGATTTTAAATCTGTTATTTTACCTTAATTTTAATTAAAAAATATTTTAAAACCTGCTGATTACCTATAGTATAATTAAATTTCAATATAATGCATGGCAACTGTTGGTAGTTTTGAAGTTT